GGTGTACCTAATAAAGTGGCCGGTGAGTGTATATATATATATAATTAAGATCAATTTAAAATAGAGAAATAGAACATAGGAAACATTTACTTTAAAAGAATCTCAAACTCTACCAGAATGAAATGCCAAGGAGTAAAAATGAGTTTTAAGCATTGTTACATTGTTATACAGTATGTCACGAGTATAGTGTTTTTTTTTCTTTTACTTATCTTTCTTTATTCTATCTCACTCTGTCCTGTTTTGAGCTGCTGTAATGTGCAAATTTCCCCCCTGTGGGATCAATAAAATCTTATCTTATCATATCTTATCTTATCTTAATTACTGGATGTTYGRCCCCTGAGCTKTTGGCCTGCAGTAACTGTGGCCACCGGAGCAATTTAGTGCATAGTCCTGGAATAAACTAATTAATATTTCCATATCCAATGTTTTGGTTAATTTAAAATGAACTGTTGTGACGACAGCTCAAACTTTTCTGTCCCTAGATGTGACCAGTTGGACGGGGATCCTAAGGAAGTGTCTCCTATCTTCACTCAGTTTCTTGAGTGCGTTTGGCAGCTGACGGAGCAGTTTCCACAGGTTTGTGAGAACGTGCCGGCAGCTTATCAGATCCACGCTCTGCTTCTCACTCCAAACGTTTTTTTTTAAAATATTTTTTTTATTGTATTTATTTTACCAAACGCCCCTTTCTGTAGGCTTTTGAGTTCAGCGAGTGGTTCCTGCTGCAGATCCATGAACACGTTCACTCGTGTCAGTACGGAAACTTCCTGGGAAATAATCAGAGACAGAGAGAAGAGTTGCAGTAAGTCCGTCTCACAGTTTGGGTTTGGGGGAGTTTGGGTTTTATTTAGTTGACAGCTCCAGAAAAACTCATCAAACCAGACACAGTTCTGCTGTCAGTTTCCTGTTTTAAACAGATTGATAACTTCCTTATTGTTAACTTTTGCCACCTGAGTGCGAGAATCATCACGTTAAATACATCAAGTTTAATGGGGACAAATAGGAAGCCTGACACAAATGTCATAATTATCACCTCTGCACATGAAGTGGGGGTCAAATTGTTTTCGTACTGTTATTTTTATTTTTATTTTTTTCAAGATTTTTGGTCAATCATAGCACGGAAACGGCTGCACCGATCAACGTGAAATTTGGCAGGAATGTAGATGTGTCTGATCAACACTGCACCAGCCAACCGTTTCTTGATACACCCCATATTTGAGGAAGAGGCTCCATCATAAAAAGAGCTTCAGATTTTTTTTGGTTAGCTGATGAAGGGCTGTCCATCGAGCCCACCAGTTAGGTTTTTTTTATTTTATTTAATTTTTTTAAGTTTAAAAGTTTAAAATCCTCAGTTTGATGTGATGGATCCACATATTGAGAAAGGCTCCAGATGACGGTGAATCTGTGATTATTGTCATAAATCCAGCTACATGTGCACAAGGCCTTCTGACTTTCATAAGAAAATTGAGGAACATTTTGGAAACGCCCTCTAATATTGTTCACAAATTGTCTCCAAATTATTTTTTATTATAGCATTTATCCGTTTAATTTAAAAAACAAAATATTACATACAACAATACAAATCAAATAAAATGAAAGGCAGCAGAAGAAAAAAAAACCTTACATCTGCTCTTATTTACAAAAAATATATATTAATTTCAAACAATAATAAACCAAATAATAAAAAAATCAACTCCTCAAACACTAACTCATACAAATACAAATGAAACAATTTTCATATTTCTTTAAAAAAATTCGCTTTGATCATTTTTTAAGGAATTAATTGATCCAATGCTTTTATAATCATTTTCCAGATTATTCCATGGTCTTATACCTGTTACTGAAGTGCATCTGTCCTTCAAATTTGCTTGGATTTTTGGTTTAACAAACATTTGTAATCCCTTCAAATTATAGCAGCTTTCCCTCTTAACAAAATTAGATAGGATGTTTGAAGGTAACACATTTATGAGCTTTATATATAACCTGCAGTATATGATATTCAACCAACTCATACAATTTTTATAATTTTAATTAATGAAACAATATATTAGATGGGTTCAGTGAGATCCTACTTTAAGATATAGATTAAAAATGAATTTTGATAAATAGCTTCCTGCTCACTCCATTACTGTAGTTTCTAAATTCATTTTATGTGTAATGAGCTCTATGTTATTGAGACATTTTACTTCATGTGTTCTGTTTAATGTGATTCACCGAGCAAAACAAAACAAGACCAAAGATTTTTAAAGACCCATTAATGACCTGTTTGGATTGATTTCCTGTGTCCCCTTGCTTCCAGGTTGAGTGAGCGGACCCACTCTCTGTGGGCCTTTCTRATGAGTGAGAAACAGAACCACCTGAATCCATTCTACAGCCCTGCATACTCTGAAGCCCACYCTGTTCTGGAGCCCTCCACCCTGCCCTACCATTTCAAGTCAGTGCAGGATACCTCTCCTGTCTGCGCTTTACTTTGTTTGTATCTCATTTGCATGTTTATGTTAACCTGTGCTTGCTAGGTTCTGGAGGAGCATGTACCACCAGTTCGATCGGTCTATGCATCCACGGCAGTCTGTCCTCAAAACCCTCGTGACTCTGAASGAGAGCAGCCGCAAGGTGGAGAACACGCTGCAGGCCCTGGAGACTGTGAGCTTTGATTCTCCTACACAACAATGTRCAGAAACCAGAACAGCTAAAGTCACAACACATGTTGCAGTGAAAAGCTCTAATTAAGTCTGGCTTACAGGCTTGTTTTTGAATACACTCTCTTTGTATTTCCATGTTGTTTACAGGCAGCACAGTGTTTCTGGTTATTTTCATAGTCTTAGAATGGAGTAGCTTGAAGGAAGCAAAGTCCCAAACAAACCAAACCCTGTGCTTAGGTGTTATAATATTCTCCCTTTGGTGGGTTCAGCTTTCAGCTACTTTCTCTTATCGTCTTTGTAACTATTTTAATTTTTAAAGAGTCACGCAGAGAACCAAAGCTGTTGTCGACACGATTGGTAGTTCTTTTTTTACAGTATATGTCAGATTTTGCATGCTTTTGCATCTCTTCTTGAGCGCTGCGGCCAGGTGTGAGCTCAGTCTGGCAAAAACCTGCCTGCCTGTGAGCAAACTGGATGGATTTTAATGAAACTTCTAATCACTGGATCAGGGACGCAAGTTATCGATTAATGAGTTCATCTAAACCTAATTGATCTTATTGATCGACTAACAATTAATTGATAAGCAAACCTGAGTTTTCTCTTCTATCAAGATTAACATGAAGGGTTAATCTTGTATAATACGCTGGCTTAAAAAATGAAGCAGATCAATATATTTTAAGTTTATTCCAGCTGTATTAAATACTGACTGAATAGACTGTGGATTTCTCACACTTTATTAAACTGGACTTTTTTAATAAAAATACAACAAAACAGAAATCCATTAGGCTGCTGAATGGTGGAAAACAGATGAAAAGTATAAAATATGATTTATAGATGCAAAACTATTATTAATTTRTTATTATAATTAGAATTTATTTACATTTAGAATTTATGATTTTCTGTGATTCTTTACTTTTTGATGCTTTCTTGTTGGTTCTCTGTTAACTCTGGAGCAGGACCCCCTTTCCTCCCTCGGAAGCAGCACGAGTCAGACCTCTGAGTGCTGCTCACTCTTTTCTTTTCTTTTCTTTTCTTTTTTTTCTTTCTTAATCCTGTAGATTTTTTGCTGCTTGACAAATAACTTGGTCAGGAAAAAGATCGGAGGGTTTTTATATTTTCGGCTAGAGAGAAGGAGGAAATTGACGGTGGATCGAGGTGGTTTTTTTAGTCCTGTAACGCATTTGATACGAGTCTTGACTGAACTGTAAAGCACTTTGGTCAGCTTCTGTTGTTTTAACATGCTYTATAAATAAATTTGACACTGACATTGCTTCCTGCTCGCGACGTGCATCAAATCAGACAATCGTTTTAAGAAAATAAAATGTGGCGCACACTATTTATCATAACTTAGGTTCTACATTTCCTAACACTATTTAAAGTTTAAAGTTTGAAGTCTCTACTTTTGACTCAAATTGAAACAGTGTGTCAGAGTAGGCGTGCCTTTCCAGTTAGAGCGATTTAAACGGACCATATGAAGCACCAGCGGATGTCATCAGTTAATTGGAACCGATTTTAGTTTAGTTTAGTTGATTCATTTAATTTAAAACAAAAAAAAAAATACACAACATATATACACAACAAAAATATACAAATCAAATTGAAATGAAAGGAGACAGAAGAAAAAAATCTTATATCTGCCCCTTTGTTCTATAATAAATTTCAAGCAATAATAAGAAACAAAAACAAAATAAAACTTCAATTCCTTCTCAAACAGCAACTTTCCAGTCTTTTAATCTAATAAACCATTATTCGACAGTTAATTGTAAGTTGATTGTTTGCATTGCTGCATTAAAAGCACATCTACAACTGATTTTTGGAATCCCCTTAATTCAAAATAACCACCACAGCTAATCTACATTAGCCTGCACAAACAGCTAGAACTCAGTCAGTTTTACAGATATTGAGCTAAAATAGTGTGAAAGTAACTGAGAGTCGTTCACATACTGAGTGTGACATCTCACAATATTACATGAGATTGTGCAAATTAGCTACAACTCTGTCCTTTCTGATGAATTTGATATAAAAACTGCTGTCATCTTTTAACATTTTAATGTTAAAATTGATGATTTTTGTTTTAGCCACTGCTTTACTGGAGTTTATAATAATAATAAAACAATAATATTTAACAAGAATGAATCAAACTTTTCTGCTCTGTGTATGTAGAGGCTCCAACAGCTCGGCGTGACCCCCGTCTCAACTTCGGACCCCCCTGCGCCCCCTCCCGCCCGAGGCCAGCACGCCACCCCTCTGCCGCCCCGTTCCGACTCCCTCATCCTCGGCGCTCCCCTCAGCCAGAAAGAAGCGCAGCGCTGCGAGGAGGAGCAGGACGAGGTGGGCGAGGAGGCCACGGAGGGCACGGACACGGAGCGGACAGTAGAGGGCAGCAGCGGCACTGAGAGCAGGAAGCAGAGCTACGGCGAGCTGGACGGGACATATAAAAGTGAACTGGCCAAAGAAGAACCCGCTGCTGTTAGTCTGGAGTTCGGCATGGCACGCATGACCTGCTGAAACCAAACAAAAGGGATTGTTTCCGAGCACAGGATGGGCGTGGCTTAGTGAAGGGACTTCTCTGAAAAGYGTGTGTGCGTTTGAAGGAGAACGCGTCATTCTCTTTGTGTTTGTGTGCCGATTACACAATGGTCCAAAACGGGCCGAGTTACTGATGTACGTCTGTATAGTTTAAATCTCAGTGGAAAGCCTCATTATTATCTCATATATTGCACTTACCATGAAACATGAAAAAAAGCTTGTTTTTTTAATGAATGTTGTAAATCACTATAGAAAACTCATGAAGAAAAAAATAAAATAAATCATTATCAACCCCAAAAAAGTGCAATTTATCCTGCTTTAGAATGCATTCATCAAAAAATAAAAAAATAATAATAATCATGGAGAAGATCAACGTTTCTGGCACAGGAAAGATTTAATTTCGTCTGAAGGCAGAAGGCCAACCTAATTCACCGTTGAGCTGCTTTAGTTCTGATCTAAATGCCTGCAGCCAAATCAGAACATCAGTATATTTTGTCAAAAATGGCAAGATAAAAAAATGGTTCCAGTTTGCCTCAAATTATTTTCCAGTTTAGTTTTTGAACTCTTTAGGCACTTTGCTTTAAATCCTCTTAATAAAACTGAAGTTAAATGTGAGTTTCAGCACCTGATTGCGTATAAATTGAACTGTTCGATGTTGTGATCATCCATTTTAGCCCTTACTTTTGTTCTCTTACATCGAGCAGATAATCTGATTTAGTAATGTGCATTGATCTCCTAATCCCATTGATCCTAACGGATTTCTAAGTTGCTCATGGGTTGTTTTTTGACTGCTGACCCTGATCTGTGGTGCATGACACCTATACTGCTTGGCAGATACTGTACAATTATAACACTATGCCTTCAGTTTTACTAAAGTGTCTCAGTGATTTATTCATTTCTCATGAAATCTAACAATAATGAAAGACCCAGAATTAGTCAATGGAATTGCCAACCGCCCTTCCTGCCAAAGATTTCAACTTTGTAAACTTTTGTGAGAGCTTGTGAGATGCGTTTGCACTCATGATGTGTTGAGATGTACTCTCAGCTACCACCACACTCAGTTTTAGCTCAATATATGTAAAATCCACTAAGTTACAAACATTTTGGTATTTTGATTGATTGATTGAGACTTTATTCATTTCATTTAAAAAACAAAACATTCTATATACAATAAAAATAGAAATCAAATGAAAGGCAGTTTAAAGAAGAAAATGTATTATATCTGCCTCTTTTTTCCCCCAAAAATCAATTAAAACAATAATAATCTTCAAGGAGCTAAAACAAACAAGAACATTAGGGTTGCTTAGCTGTGGAGGTCATCTTCAAAGGGTTTAAACAGTTGGAGATGATATAACACAAAGACATGAACATCATCAGTTTGTATTCAGTGACAGACAAGTACCGTATTAGCTTTATATAGACCCCAACCATCAGTTGGGGTCTATATAAAGTGGGACTGCAATGCTTTGGTCTGAATTCCTCCTTATTGTAACTCCACAAGCCCCGCTTTCACCCATTATCAGAGGTGTGTCTCAGATCAATTCATTTTGAGGCTGTCTCTTTAAATCCAAACAAGGCGCTTCACACCCCGGCCCCCTCCAGGTTCCAGAGCGGTCCACTCCAGTTTGAAAGAGGGGTTTATAGTGGTGCAGAAGCTTTTATTTACAAGTGAATTAAAAGATGTCAACAAGGAAAGCCTTGTTCATCCAACCTTACATGTTGGGAGTCTGACCCAGAGTCAGAGGAGACTGAAGACTACCAAATTGCAGTTGGTAAGTCCATGCCTTGTTTGGTCGCAAATAATTTGATGTAATAGTTCAGAAAACATAATAAAAAATAGAAACAGCTTGAAAAATATGACCCAAACAGAATATAAGGATACTGTAGCTCTGCAGCACTAGGAGAGACTAAATCTAACTTTTCTGCACTCCTTTAAACTCCAAGTACACAACAAAATGTACTTAATGGCTAAAAAAGTGGATTTTTGCGTATGTCCCCTTTAAGGCCCTGTCTCACTATAATGTTTAAGACAATGTATGCCAATTTATGAAAATTTTGTCCAACACTGAAGATGTCTACACTGAAGACAAAACATAAAAAACTGGGAGATTTTTTTGAACAAATAAGCTAACAGATCAAATATGTAACCTGTATGATTATTTCATTCATAACTAAATTATTACACATCTACATCCGTTGTCTAAAACAGAGTGTTGCAGGGCCTTTAGATAAGCAAGAACAAATTTTATGATTACTATTGCTAACATGGAGCCGTACACACAAACTTTATGAGTCTATTTTCTCTCCATATACTGAGCCGGTCTGTATGACGTGAGTTTGAGCCACGAGGCTGCGTAGTTTGGCTCAGCTCAAAATGTTCTCATTTGTCACAAAAACAGCTCTGAGTTGATTCCAGACTAATGCTTTAACTGTCCTTCACACCAGAGCTCAGAAAGATTTAGGTCTGGACTGGATTAGATCTGCCGTGCAAATAAAAAAAGACTTGTTCAATCAGTTTGCAGCAGAATGACAAGATGTAAAACTCGTCAGACGTCAGGATAAATGGAGGGGACGGGCGATCTGCATGTTTTTGCTTTGCAAAAACGTCCAACTCTGCAATGCCTGTTTTAGCATTCAGTCTGGATTTGACTATTTCGTTGTATTTGTAAAACAAAATCTGCAGCAAATAAATCCCTGACACCTCAATAGCCTAACCGCCTTTACATGCCGCAGGAATAAAAAGAGATCTATGCAAACACAAAGCGAGCATACAACGTCACAGTCAGCATCAGTCAAATGAGCATCCATGGGAAAATAGACCAGTTCATTTAGAGGGACTTGTATTAAAGACAGGCTGGTAGTGCAGTGGGACGTTCTGTGTGCAGAGACTGTTTCAGCTTTATGTGAAGCTCTGTAATACTGGAACTGCAAGAAAAATTGTGAGAAAGTGAAAGTTTTCACATTAAACTTTATGTCCTGTGGTAGTTTTAGCAGATTCCTAATTTTGGGCCGGACCACTTTTTTGGTCCACCTCAGGGTGGCAAAGCTTCATCATAATTTTTGGAAAGATACAGTAATATTTTGGTATGATAGCTCTTTTAGAGTACAGCTAAATCACAGCTATCAGCTCCTGAAGTTATTAATCTGCAGTGGTGGGCAGCACTAATCTAAAAATTAGTTCCACTAGCCCTAAAACACTAACTCAGATATTTAGGTCCCCTAATTCTAATGCACTACAATGCAAAAAATGTGCACCTAACCAAGTTTGAAAATCTTATTTCCAGCCAAAAAAGTCTTTTTGATCTTGTTTTGAGACTGATTTACTAAACAAGAACTGATTGTGTAAGAATAATCATCTTTTCAGAATGTGTAAGATTATTTGTCTTGTTAGTCTGAAAATTTGACTCAAATTAAGTCAAAAATTTCTGCCAATGGAGTAAGAAAATTTAACTTGGTAAGATTCTTGAAATACTTGATTTGACTCAATTTTTTCTTATTTCATTGGCATAATTGACATTCCACAGCTGTATTTGGGTTCATATATTGTCACCTGGTGGATAAGTGACACACATATGAACAAAATGTGTGACAGCTTGCACTGTCATCTGTTAATATTAAACAATAACATACATGGAACTCAGTTAGTGCTTCTAAATTTAGCCTATAAATTTAGAAAGTGCTAATCCACTGATATATTTCAAAATTAGCAAAAGCCCTAAAGTACTAATCAGGAAATTAGTTTCCCTATTAGTGCTTTAGGGGAACTGTGCCCACCACTGATAACCTGTTAAGAAAAAAAAATGTTTTGACAGTGGTGTATAGCTAGGCTCATACGGACATTGGTCAAAGCTTTAGAATATTGTGTTTGGTTGGTATCAGTTTAAAGGGGACCCTCTGTGCTTTTATTTAAGCCCAGATTTGTGTCTCTCTGACCAACACAGAGGTCACTAGAACTCTTTAAACCACAAATAATACCCCCCCCCCCCCACACACACACACACACAATTTTCACCTAAATTAAATATTTTATTTTAGCTTTGTGACATGCAGGGGCATCAGGGACACAAGGATTCAGGAAATGTTTAATATACCCACACTGTCTCTTTGTGGGAGGTGATTGTGAGCCATACACTGCAAAAACTGTCCATTTTACTAAGTTTTAAAATCTTATATCCAGCCAAAAAGTCTTTTTGATCTTGTTTTGAGACTGATTCACTAAACAAGAGCTGATTGTGTAAGAATAACAATTTTGTTCTCAGAATGTGTAAGATTATTTGTCTTGTTAGCCTGAAAATTTGACCCAAATTAAGTCAAAATTTTCTGCCAATGGAGTAAGAAATTTTTA